CCAAAGCAGCAGCCGTGTCTGCAAGGCCCCGGGCAGGCGCGCGGTAAAAGCAGGAGCCCGGGAATCGCCGGTTTTGCAGGAACGGAGGCTTTGGCAGCGGCGGCGACGTGCGGGAAAGGAGGAGCACGCGCGCCGGGGAGGGGTGGAAGGAAGGGAAGGGAAGGGCGGAGGGAAGCAGCCGGTCCTTGCTGCAAAAGTTAAAATAAAATGCAATGGAATAAACAAACAAAGCAAGGGGACGGGGGGCGATCTCAAAAATAATCAAGCCTTCTCCTCCAAAATGCAAAAAGGTGCATCAACCTCGCCAGAGAACCTGGACTCGGGTGCTGGAAACTGCATTTGACAACATGGTGCACGCCCCCTCCCCACGTGCCCTCCTGATAATGCGTCCAATCCTCGGGTGTTTTGCACGGTATTAGCGTCAAATCTTGTGCAGGCTAGGGGAAAAAAATCCGTGATCTGCAGGGACGGCACTGGCGGGGCAGGCTTGATCCTACGCCCAGTTGCTCACGAGTAAATACCGCTACATTTAGGGAGGGAGTGGAAAACAAGTCAACATAAGAAGAGCCCTGCTGGATCAGGGCAAGGGCCCATCTGGTCCAGCTTTCTGGATCTCCCCGTGGCCCCACCAGATGCCTCTGGGAGCACAGGAGACAACGAGATCCCTGTGTCCTGAGCCCCCTCCCCTGCATCTGGCATTTGGGGGGCCCATCTTTTTCAGCCTGGAGATGGTACATCCCCATCATGGCTTGTAACCAGCGATGGACCTTTTCTTCAGAAATCTGTCCAATACCCCTTTAAAGGCATCTAGGCTAGATGCCGTCACCACATCCTGTGGCCGGGAGTTCCACAGACTAACACCATTCTGAGTCCAGAAATATTTTCTTTGGTCTGTTCTCACTCAATGGGAATCCATGTCCCCTCAAGTCTTATGAGAACAAGTGGGGAAAAGTGGCTATGTTTACCTTGGGAGAAAATGCGACTCAGAGCCCCAAAGGAAATGGAGAAGAGACCCGTTTTCTTGTTCCTGAAATTAAAAGCCAAGATTTAAATGGCCAGAAAAGAGATTTCAGTGAAAGATTATAAAGAATTTCCCAGAACTTGGGGATTTTTTTGAGCAGTAATAAGTGAAATAGGATTCACATATCAAGTGGGGCTGGACTAGATGACTTTGGAGTTCCCTTCCAAAGGAAAAAGAACCTGTGCGTTTACCCACTTCTGAATTCACTAAATCCTTCTTCCACAGGTTTCATTCATTCTATACACAGTTACAGTTAGTATTCACTTAGTTGTTAATTAGTATTTAGTTTTCATTATTATTAGTTTATTAGCCATATCCCGCATTTCCCCCAATGAACTCAAGTCAGTTAATGGGACTCTCCTTCTCTCAGTGTCTCCTTACATCAACCCTGAGAGGTAGGCAAAAAGAAAAAAAACAGCTCTGTGATCCGTAAGTAAAAATAACATTTAGAATGGAGTAATAGCTTTATTAGCAAAAAAAAGTTGTAAACAGAAATCTTTTTCGTGCTCAGCTATATCCTAGGAGGACATAGATCAGGTAAAGAGGAATGGTCTAATGTAAGGTTGCCCAAGGAATTTGAAGCAGGGTGGATTTGATTTAAAAAATTTTAAATGGAAATTTTGGGATGAGTTAAATTAAAAAATAGATTTTTAAAAATTTAAATCACGATTTAAATCAATTTGTGTTTTTTTTTAAAAAAATCTTTTATTTTTATCCAATCTGGTTTGAAAGGTGGGGTGGTAATGAGCAATGATTGGCTTTAAAATATTATTATATTTTTATATCATTAAGAATGATTTATATTTTTATATCATTAAGAATGATATATATATTTATTTTTTATATCATTGATATATGTTTATATCATTAAGAATTATATATATGATATATATCATTAAGAATGAATTTTTTTAAAGAAAAAATTAAGCCTTGGTCAATATCAAACCAAGATAAAAACATTTTAAATGTTGTACAGGTCTGGGTTCTGCCTTTGCCCTGAAAACCAAAAGCAGTGAGGGAGAGAAATTTAGCCCTGAGAGCTGTCCGTGAAGGTTCAGATATGTCAGTATGAGGGAAATGTGGAAAGAGTAAACTGTTCATAGCTTTGCCTCAGATGAATTTATTTTATTTTTGCCTCAGATGAATTTATTTATAAATAAATAAAATAAATGAAGTAATTTTAATTAATTTTTGATCCGTTTTTGTTTCCTGACAGGTTCTGCTGTGAACCTAATTTCTGCCAGCTGTCTATTTATTTATTTATTTTTGTAATTTTATTGTGCTTCATGCTGTTGTGTTTTTAGGGATCATGTTTACTGTGTTCCCTTTTCCATTTTGTTCTTCTGATGTTGTTCTGTTTGCTGCCCAGAGAAGGAAGATGGCTGTGCTACTAGTGAGGCAGGATAAAAATGGCAAGTAATTAATCAGTTAATTAATTACATGCAACAACCTGAGCTGCGACTTAATGTTACCTCAGAGGAGCTGTTTCTGCTCAGTGTCTCCCAGCAGGACCAGCCCTGCCTTGTTTTCTAACTCCCTCAAGTGTAAGCAAAGTTGCAGACATTGTTTCCCTCACAAAAGTCACAACATCCTTCATATCCTTCATATTTAGGGGAGGAGCTTTACATAACCCCTGTTTTTTTTAATAAACTGATGCCAAGTTAATGAAAAGGCCACATTGTGACAGAAAGTCGTGGTGTCAGAGAGAGGTTTCTTTAATCACTTTCCACTTAGTTTATTCTTCATTTCCTTCCACATGGCTTACTTGTGTGGGGCGGGGGGAGGGGAGGCAGGCGATGAGGGAATGGTAACGTAATGGTGTCTGTGTGGTGAGATGCCTTCAAGTAGGGCATCTATCGTTTTGCCCATAAACGTATAATAAGAGCTGGATGCCAGATAAGCGTCTTTATTGAAACCTGTGAAGTTTCATCCCTGGGAGGGGAAAGGTTACCACAGAAAAAGCCCCACTGCATGGCTTCGTAGGGTCAGAAATCAGGTGTCCAACCTTTTGGACTCATTTCATAGAAAAAGAAAGGTTGAAGAGTAAGGCTAGTTAACACTAGCTTGGTTAACACTTATTCACTTATTTGAGGGGAAAACTCTCATTTTTTTAAATACAGAAAATCCTGCATGGATGATGAAGGGCACATTATCCCACCACCTTTTGCCACCACAGATATAATTTGCAAACAGTGGTTTCCTCCCTCATTTGTTGAACATGGGACTGAAAGCCATGCCCTTCTTTTTCATATTCTGGCTCATCATTGCTGAGGCGCTGGAAATATTGACAAGCACTGGAGAACCTGGAGCATTTTAAATCCTTCTGAAGAGTTTTGCTTGGTTGCAGATAATAGGAATGTGTGGATTCTATGCATATCTCCTCAGAAGGCAGTCCCAGCTCTGAGTTTTATGTGGATATTTCCAAGGAAATGTGTGTGTGCAGCCCCAGTAGTTAGAGAGTGTGTGTTGTCGTTGTTGGAGGCTTGGGACTGCCTCCTTTAGCTTCTGAGTGTGTGTGTGTGTGTGTGTGTGTGTTTGTAGGGGTTATCTCAGTCTTTGAAATACTTGGATAGCCCCTCAGGAGCACCTCAGGGAAGGGGGACGCAATTCACTCCCCAAATTAAACGTGAGCCCCCTCCCCCCCATTCAGGCCCACATGTAATTGCTTATTAGGATTCAGCATTGCCCTAATTTGGGTTATGGGCCTGACATATTTCCCCCCCCCCCAAAAAAACAATGGTTTGTTTTGCCTCAGTTTCTTACTAAATTGTCTCAGGGCTCCTGAGGTAAATTGTGCACCCTCATCAACGATCTGCGTGCCGCTGCAAAGGGTCTAAGGTGGTAAAGTGACCCGTTTCCCAGAGGACGGTCCTCTGCTCAAAAGCCTCAACTTGAAGGCCTGTCTAGTCTCCAAAAAAAGAGTGAACCAGAACACTGATTGCACCCATCAAGGTGGGAATGGGGAAGTTGTGGCCTTCTGGATATTATGAACTACAAATCCCATCTGTACCAGGCCAACATAGTCTGTGATGGTGGATAACAGCAGCTGTAGTCTAAGAATATCCAGAGACCCCTTGATAGCATCTGGACAGCAAATTAAAGCAGGTGCACTGGTTACAGCCTGTTCTCCTGTGTTGTATGTTTATTCAAATTTCAGTGTTTGTTTGTTGTTTGTTTGTTGGTTTATGACTTAGTGTTTATTTATGACTTATGAGTTACTCAAAGCAGTTGACACATAAAAACAATGATCCAAACAC